CCAAATACTGTGACATTGTCAAGTATTCTTCCCACAGTATCGTATTTATCAAATTTGAAAGTTAGAGAGGAAGTACAAGCTTATGTTGTTGGAAACAATTTAATTTGTCTGGGCACAAAGGGATTTTGATCAAGCAAAAATTAGTGTGCTGCAAGTGCTATTATACATCGATATTCATGCAAAGTCGAGTTTTCTTTACTAGGCACAACGGGATTTTGAACAAGCAAAATGTAAGAGCTTAATCATTTGGACATCAATAATATCAGCTATTGCATCCCACAAATATGCTAATACGTCTCTTGGCCTTTTTTATGAGATGCTGAATAGCGTGGTTCAACTAGAACAAGTGACATTTACAGCATTATTAACAGCTTGTGCAAATCAATGCTTTTCAAAATCATCATCCATCCGGTAGGGTTTAAAGCAACATTTAGCTAAAATGAACATAGGATAAAGATTACATAGTGATAGGGTTAGATTATTAATTGTGGGTTTATTGATAAATTTTAATTTATTGTTAATTTTATCTTGTACTTGATAGTAATTATGCAATAAAATAAAGGGAACTTTAATGAAAAGCGCTCGGTACTGTTCACTTTAACGAAAAACCACATTTTTACACTAAAAAGTCAATCCTGATACTATTCACTTTACTCTTCATTTTGTCCTTATCGTTAAAACTCAAAGTTTTCAAGCCTTTTTCATTAGTTTTCCTTAAAATAAAATAAACAATTCACATTTAAAATTTAAGTTGGGTGTAGAAAAAAAGTTCTATGGGTTTAAATCAAATTTCCCATTCAGTTTTACAATTTAAAAGGGTAAATTACATAGTAATCCATTAGGTTTGAGGTCTATTATATTACAACCTCATACAACATCTTTAAAACATTTCACTTTCATACCTCACGTACTATTTTATTTCAAAATAATACCTCCGTTAAATTTTCCATCAATTGATCCGTTAAATGCTAACATGGCTGCCAAATGTGTGCCACATGGCAAAAAAAAAATAATTAAAAAAAAAACCTTAGAAAACGTAGAACCCACCCCCACAACCTTTCCCCACCCCTCTTCTCCTTCCCAAGCCTTCCAACCACCTCCCTCTCCTCCACTCTCTTCACCTCCCCTCCCATCCAAAAACCAACCCCACCCCCACCTTCCCCGAGCCCTTTCCTTTTTCACCCCCACCCCTCCCCCCCTCGGCACCCACCTTCACACCCGCACCCACCCTCTTCCCTCCTCTACACACCCCACTCCTTAAATCCACACTCATTCCTCCCATTTTCACCTCATGAGCCCGGCAATGGTGGTGTAGAAGGGATCTGGGTTTTTTTTTTTTCTAGGTTGCAATTACGAGGGTCGGGGGGGAAGAAGATGAAGATGGGGGAGAAGAGATGGGAGGAGGAAGGGGATGAAGAACTGAAGGGTTTTTTTTTGGTGGGTTGTAGGGGGAAGAAGATGGGGAAGAAGAGATGAGGAGGAGGAGGAGGGGGGAAGACGAATTGAAGGGGTTTTTTTTTTCTTTTTTTGTGGGTTGCAAGGGGAAGAAGATGAGGATGGGGGAGAAGGGACGAGGGGGAAGACGAATTAAAGGGCTTTTTTTTTTCTGGGTTGCAATGTCACATCCCAGCCCGGGACGGACCACTTCCCGGGCCCGCTCCATCACCGTAGCACAATATTGTCCGCTTTGGGCTTACCATTCCCTCACGGTTTTATTTTTGGGAACTCACGAGCAACTTCGCAGTGGGTCACCCATCCTGAGAGTGCTCTAGCCTCCTTCTCGCTTAACTTCGGAGTTCCTACGGAACCCGAAGCCAGTGAGCTCCCAAAAGGCCTCGTGCTAGGTAGGGATGTGAATATACATTTAAGGATCACTCCCCTGGGCGATGTGGGATGTTACAATCCACCTCTTTAGGGGCCCAACGTCCTCGTCGGCACACTTCCGGCCAGGGATTGGCTCTGATACCATTTGTCGCATCCCGGCCTTAGACGGACCACTTCCCGGGCCCGCTCCATCACCATAGCACAATATTGTCCGCTTTGGGTTTACCATTCCCTCACGGTTTTGTTTTTGGGAACTCACGAGCAACTTCCCAGTGGGTCACCCATCCTGGGAGTGCTCTGGCCTCCTTCTCGCTTAACTTTGGAGTTCCTACGGAACCTGAAGCCAGTGAGCTCCCAAAAAGCCTCGTGCTAGGTAGGGATGTGAATATACATTTAAAGATCACTCTCCTAGGCAATGTGGGATGTTACATGCAGGGGAAGAAGATGAAGAGGAGGGAGAAAAGAGGAGGGAGAAAAGGGGGGAGGGAGGTGCGTCTACATGGGTCGTGGGAGGATAAGGTTTCTGGGTTTGTGGGTTGCGGGGAAGTGTGTTTCGGCTTTTGTTTTTGGTTTTTGGTTTTTTAATTTTTTTATTTATTTTTTATAATTTAGAAGATTCAGGTTTTTTTTTTTTTTTAAATTATTATTTTTGCCACATGACACACATTTGGCAGCCACGTCAGCATTTAACGAATCAATAGATGTAAAATCTAATGGAGGTATTATTTTGAAATAAAATAATACGTGAGGTATGAAAGTGAAATGGTTTAAAGATGTTGTATGAGGTTGTAATAGACCTCAAACCTGAGGGATTACTATGTAATTTACCCAATTTAAAATTAAGAAACTTGAACCGTACTGAACAATAATTTCGGTTCAACTTTAAGCTAGAAACCAGAGCCAGATGAACCAAACTCGCCCCTATGGCTTGATTGGTTTGAGATTGCTCCTCCAACCAACAAAAAGATTTATATGGAAACGACACGGTTACAATTTCAGTGGTGTTCGTTCTGCTAAAATAATGTCATGTATAATATGAAATTGTATTGGATCATGGCACCACACGACGGTGAACTTATTCAATATAAATGTAAATTGTTCTCCTTCATCAAAATGTCCAAGCTATACACGAGGAAATGGTATGTTTGTATTCGAAGTCTGTTAGGATTTATGCCTAAAACTTAAACTTTTATCTTCCCTCCTTTAGTAGCATGCACATAAGGGTCACATGTGCGGCTAAGATGGTCATTTCATTGTTAGTAGTGGGCCCATAACTAAAACCCTCATTTTTGGCGTTCCCAATTCTGAAACACGAGAAGAATGCATGGCAAGATAGCAAGAATGAGTGGCGGGGATGGAACCAGTATCATTCCACCAAAGGGTTGGGATAATGGTGTCAATTCGTGGGAATGAGGCTCTCAGAATGTTGCTTCCATGACAGGTAGTAGATGGGCTTATCAAAAAAATAATTTGGGTTCTGTGAAAATTGGGAGTATGTTCTTGGTCAAAACAGCAAATCTCTAGAAGATAGAGAATAGAAAGATCGTGGAGGAAATGAATGGGGTTGAAAAAATTGGTAGAACCAGAACAAATAGAAAAATAATTTGGATCTTGCAGCACTAACATTTTCAAAATCCATTTGATTTCTGACGGTGATTGCAATTGCGATTTCACCGTTTCACACTGATTTCTAATGATGATTGCAATTGCGATTTCGATCTCTAAGTTCAACACCCAGCTGATTGCAATTTCATCATTTCATCGTTTTACACCCAGCCGCAAAAGGGATGGAGACCAAGGGATGAAATAACCATCTTTGCCTCACACTTGATCCTCACATGGAGGCTACTAATAGAGAAAAGACAGAAGTTTATCTTTTGGACATAAATCCTAACAGACTTCACCAAATTCGAATTTTTTTATAGGGTTATGTTCCGAATACCTCATCAGCACATGGACCATTTATCTGATTTCCCCATTAGTATTTAATGAAATGAATTGCACATGTATTAACTTGAAATTTTGAAAAAAACTAATGAAGATATTTTTGGAAAAACAAATGAAAATGATATCAACTAAAGTGTTGTAAATAGTGGGATTGTATGCCCACATGTGAATAGTAATGAATAAGGCATAATTTGTTGTGTTATGTCACGGGAAGTTGTTTTCATTCATTGTAAACCTTCTATAAATAGATCACCACTTAGGTGATCAAGACACTACGAGAGAAAAACAACTAATAATAATAATATTCCTCACTTCCTCTGCAATCATTTTGTGTTGGTATAATATTTTGGAATTGCTTCGCTCCTGTCCCTAGCAAAGGTTATCTCTCTAACTTTTGCTTATTTATAACACGTTGTCAGCACGATTCTCAAACCATTTTTCATTTCCCTTCGTCGAAAGAAAAAAAAAAGTTTCCTTTAAGGATTTTACTGTTCTTCTTCTTCCTCTGTCTCAACTACTGGATATACCCTAGCAAAGAACTGTATGCACCATGTCTGCTTTTAGTTCTTAACATAACAGTTACTTATATCTTTGATTTCTTGTTTGGTGTAGCTCTTGACTACTAACTCATTGTTTATTTATGCAATCCAAGATGGTGCAGTATCATCGCCTATCTTGAACTGCATATCTAATTTTACTGCAAATTTTAGGTGGAGCGATATAATCGCCCACCCTACCCTGTTTTTTTTAATTTTCCTTCTATTTAATTTTATTGCAATTTTTGGTGGTGTGGAATAATCACCCACCCGACTCTGCATATTTAATTTTTCTGTTGCTTGAGTGGTGTGGAATAATCGCTCATCCTATGTTATTTCAATGAGAATGGTGCGGTACAATCGCCTTCCTCATTTATCATATAAATCTTGAGCTTGAAGTTTCGAGTGCTTATCATTTTGGCCTGAAGATCAAAATGAAAAATATGTAAGGACCAGAAGTTCTAACAATATATTCCTCCAGAATACATATTATTGCAAGTTCTTACACACCTCATTTTTCTTTCAGAAAAGAAAATGGCGAACTTGGCAAAGCTTGATTTTGTTGCCTTGGATATTACTGGAAAGAACTACCTTACCTAGGTAATGGATGCCAAAATTCATCTGGAGGCAGTGAATCTTGGATAAACTATTAAGGAGGATAACAGTGCATCCTCTCAAGATCGGGCGAAGGTCATGATCTTTATCCGTCGCCACCTTGATGAGGGACTGAAGATCGAGTACCTCACGGTTGAAGATCCACTAACCCTCTGGAAAGCACTGAGAAATGGATACAATCACCAAAAAACGGTGGTTCTTCCAAGGGCTCGTTATGAGTGGGCTCACCTAAGGATCCAGGATTTTAAGATGGTGGCTGAGTACAATTCTGCTATGTTCAAAATTACCTCCCAGTTGAAGCTCTATGGAGAAACCATTACTGAGGAAGACATGCTGGAAAAGACTTTCAGCATCTTTCATGCCTCCAACGTGCTTCTGCAGCAGCAGTATAAAGAAAGATGCTTTGCCGAGTACAACCAGCTGATATCTGTACTTCTTATAGCTGAGCAAAACAATGAGCTTCTGATAAAGAATCATCAGTCCCGACATACTGGATCAGCACCATTCCCAGAAGTGAATGTTGTTTCCCTTGAAGGGAATACCACATCCTCTCACGACAATAATTACAAACGAGGACGTGGCCACAAGCGAGGCCGAAATGGCAAGAACCATGGTGTCCAGTTTCACAACCAGATTCCAAGACATAATACAGGCCCGAGCTTTTAAAATGCAAATCGCCAGAAAGGCAAAGCTCATATGAACACTCATAGAAATCCTGAAGGAGTTTGCCATATGTGTGGTGGCAATGGGCACTAGGCACGTACCTGTTGTACCCCAAAACATCTGGTGGATCTGTATCAAGCCTCCCTCAAAGAGAAGGGTGTTGAGACCAATTTTCTCGACCAGGATAAAATGATGGATATACCTGATCCAATGTTCGATTTATTAGGACAATTGATGAACACAACCCACCTAGATGTTTCAGACTTCATTATTCAAAGAGGGAATGAAGTGTTTGGGTCCAATTAAATCATTTTGTTTGATGTACTCTTGTTATTTGTACTTGTGATTTAATGCTCGCATTTTCAATTCAATAAAAGTAGTATTCCAGTATGAATAAACTGTTTTTTAACTGTAATCTCTTTACTCAGAGAACATGGATAAAAATTATGATTATTCTCAAAACAAGAGCAATGGCGGAGACTTTTGTCTTGCAAACAGTGCAACCACGCATTCAATACTTCGAGATTGAAAGTGTTTCTCGAACTTGGTACTTGTAAAAGTAAAGGTAACAACAATATTAAGATAATCAGATGTAATTGAAGGCTTAGGAAAAGCCCATATTATGTTACCAAATGGAACAATATTGTCCATATAAAATATGTTGTACGCCACTCGGTCTACTCAAAATTTATTAAGCTTTAAAGACATACATCTAAATGGATACCACATTGAAACGAAAAGTGCAAAAAATGTGGAATATTTATGCATTACCTCCAATGATACCCAGAAGCATATATTGGAGAAGTTGCGTGGTTTATCGAGTGGATTGTATTATACATACATAAAGACAATTGAGGCATATACTGTCATGATCCAGAAGTTCATTGATTCAAAAATTTACATGTTTTGGCATAACCGTCTGGGTCATCCAAGATCTACCATGATGTGTAGAATCATTACCAACTCTAATGGACATCCATTATTGAGCAGACACATTGATGTCTCAAATGATAACCCTTGCAAGGCTTGTTCCCAAGGGAAGTTGGTAATGAGACCATCACAACTAAAGGTTGATGCTGAATCCCCATCATTTTTGCAAAGAATTCAAGGGGATATTTGTGAACCTATTCAACCACCTTGTGGACTATTTCGATATTTTATGGTTTTGGTTGATGGATCTACCCGATAGTCATTTGTTTACCTATTGTCTACTCGAAATGTAGCTTTTGCGAGGCTTCTTACTCAAATAATTAAGTTGCGAGCACAATTCCCAGATCACCTCATTAAGTCAATCCGACTTGATAACGCTGGTGAATTTACGTCTCAAACCTTTGATGATTACTGCATGACACTGGGCATTGATGTTGAACATCATGTTCCTCATGTCTATACTCAAAATGGCTTAGTAGAGGCATTTATCAAACGGCTTCAATTAATACCTCGCACTCTACTCATGAAAACAAAATTGCCAGTCTCTGCATAGGGACATGCCATCTTACATGATGCATTATTGGTTCGGTTGAGACCTATAGCCAACCACCAATACTCATCAATACAACTAGTGTTTGGGCATCAACCAAACATTTCACATTTACGAGTTTTTGGTTGTGCTGTTTATGTGCATATTGCACTGCCACAACGCACTAAAATGGGACCTTAGCGCAAACTGGGAATTTATGTGGGTTTTGATTCACCATCTATCATTAGATATTTGGAACCCTTGACGGGTTATATATTTACAGCTCGTTTTACGGATTGTCATTATGATGAGACAGTCTTCTTGTCGTTAGGGGGAGAAAAAATAGTTCCAGAAGAACAGCAAGAGCTAACATGGATTGTTCCCACCTTATCTCATTTTGATCCACGAAGCACTCAATGTGAAAATGAAGTAAAAAGGATCGTTCATCTTGAAGGTATTGTTAATCAAATGTCAGATGCATTTAATGACGCTTTGAAAGTGACAAAGTCACATATACCAGCTACAAATGCACCTGCAAGAATTGATGTCCTTGTTGGACAAAATAAAGTGGCAGCGAATGATTCATCTAGTGCACGCCTGAAGCGTGGTAGACCCCCAAGTTCAAAAGATTCAGCCCTTCGAAAGAAAAAGATTAGGGCATAGTTGAACCCAAATGAAAATGAATGATAAATTCACAATTCATGATTCTGTTCTTCTAGAAAAAGAAAATATCCTTGATGAGACACTCATCCCTGAAGAGACAGAAGTACATGAAAGCAAAGAAATATCCATAAATTATGCATGTACTAATTAATTGTTGGATCGAAATGAAATAATCATCGACAACATGTTTGCATTTGCAATAACCACTGAAATTATATTAAGCGATGACATTGAGCTCCGCTCTGTTGATGAATGCAAACAGAGACATGATTGGCCTAAGTGGAAAGATGCAATCCAGGCAGAATTAAATTCCTTGGAAAGGCGAAGTGTTTTTGGACCAGTAGTCCAAACCCCACCTGGTGTGAACCTCGTATGTTACAAATGAGTATTCACAAGGAAATGCAACGAGAAAAATGAGATTGCAAGATATAAAGCAGGACTCATTGCACAATGTTTTTCACAAAGACCTGGAATTGATTATGAAGAGACATACTCTCCTGTAATTGACGCAATTACGTTCCGTTACTTAATAAGTTTAGTGGTTTCAGAGAAACTTGATATGCGACTTATGGATATCATCACCGCGTATCTATATAGAGAATTAGATACTGACATATTTATGAAAGTCCCTGAAAGACTTAAGTTGCCTGAAGTAACTAACAAACCACGAGGTATGTTTTCAATCAAATTAAGGCAATCACTATATGGGTTGAAACAATATGGACAAATGTGGTATAATCGTCTCAGTGAGTATTTGATCAAAGAATGATATATCAACAATGACATCTGCCCTTGCTGTTCATTAAGAAATCAAATACTGGATTTGCTATAGTGGCAGTATATGTCGATGATATGAACCTAGTTGGAACTCCTGAAGAGCTCAATAAAACTGCTGAATATCTGAAAAGTGAATTTGAAACAAAAGACCTTAGGAAAACAAAATATTGTCTCGGCTTGCAAATTGAGCATTATGCTAATGAAATTTTGGTCCATCAATCAGCTTACATTGAAAAAATATTGAAGCGATTTGGCATGGACAAGGCTTATTTACTTAGCACCTCAATGGTCGTTTATTCTTTGGACATTAAGAAAGATCCATTCAATCCAAAAGAAGATGATGAACTGGTCCTTGGTCCAGAAGTACCATATTTGAGCGCAATAAGTGCTTTATTGTATTTAGCACAATGTACTAGACCATATATAACTTTTTCAGTTAACTTGTTAGCCAGGTATAGTTCTGCTCCAACAATTCGTCATTGGAAGGGAGTCAAAGATGTTCTACGATACCTTTGTGGGACAACATACATGGGTATCTTCTACTCAGACAAGTCCACAAATGACCAGATCCTTATTGGATATGCAGATGCTGGTTTCCTCTCTGATCCGCACAAAGCCCGCTCACAAACTGAATATGTGTTTACTAATGTAGATACTGCAATTTCATGGCGCTCAACAAAGCAAACATTAGTTGCTACATCTTCCAATCACTCAGAAATAATTGTTTTGCATGAAGCAAGTCGTGAAAGTTCTTGGTTAAGATCAATGATCCATCACATTCGGAATTCATGTGGTCTACCTTCAAAGACATACACTTCAACTGTCATCCATGAAGATAATGCATCATGTGTTGCCAAAATGAAGGAAGGATTCATCAAGGGCAATAAGACTAAACACATATCTCCAAAGTTTTTCAGTACACATGAGCTTCAGAAGGCTAAAGTTATTGAAGTCAGACAAATATGTTCCAATGAAAATCTGGCAGACTTGTTCACCAAATCTCTACCAAAGTGCACATTTCAAAAGTTAGTGTAGGGAATCAGATTATGTCGGTTTACCAATTTGAAGAATGCGGAATCAATGGGAGATACAATTTAGGGGGAGCATCCATGACACGTGCATGTTGTATTCTTTTTCCTTCGATTAGGATTTTTTCCTATCAAGGTTTTAACGAGGCAACGTAAGCGTGCTTAACACCATATCAACAATCCGGGTAAAATTGTACTCTTTTTCCTTCGCTATGGGTTTTTTCCACTAAATTTTTCCAAGCAAGGTTTTAACGAGGCAACTGGTGTTGATATGTGGGCATCCAGGAGGGAGTGTTGTAAATAGTGGGATTGTATGCCCACATGTGAATAGTAATGAATAAGGCATAATTTGTTGTGTTATGTCACGGGAAGTTGTTTTCATTCATTGTAAACCTTTTATAAATAGATCACCACATAGGTGATCAAGACACTACCAGAGAAAAACAACTAATAATAATAATATTCCTCACTTCCTCTGCAATCATTTTGTGTTGGTATAATATTTTGCAATTGCTTCGCTTCTGTCCTAGCAAATGTTATCTCTCTAACTTTTGCCTATTTATAACAATTAGTTAATTAAATAGGTTATGATTGATCAAGTTTTTTACTTACTTTTATAAATGTAAGACACTGTATTGGGCCTTAAAATTAGCATCAGGTTTCTAGGCCTATTGAGCTTGTTAACTTAAGTTGTGCATGACAACTTACAAAAAATGGATCTAAAGGCCCAAGTACACCATTGACCAATTTTAGGGGTTTTAGATGGATAGAATTTCACGTATGACTCACCTATATAAGTAACTTTATGGCTCCATTTAGACTTAGGAGTTTTTGTGGAGCAAAATGAGAAGGATGTAGTCCAATATCTTAGTAGATTATATGTTGGGTTTCTACCCTTGATTCATAGTTCGAAACTCTCCTTCCTTAAAATAATATAATAGTTTTAAACTTTCTCCTTTTCCCTTAAATCATCTTCAACCCTTAAATTAAAATCTAAAGTTTTTCTTCTCCATGTCATCCAATCAAATTGGAGCTATTGGGATTGCATATGGGTGGTTGGCAACTAGGGGTTGTTC